GGGGGGGGGGGGCTGGCTGCACACTGTCCTGCAGGTCTCGGCCGCAGCTCAGCCTCTTCAGTCACCCCTCCTACTCCAGTGCAGCTTTGCTCCCAGAAGTCTTCATATCAGCACAAAGGTTTAGAGGAATTTGAATTGGTTGTCCTCCACCTGGTAAGGACAATTGTCAGATCTACGATTTGGGCATCAAATCATAAAAAAAACTCACCTTTCTCTAGGTAACTATTAGGCGACATGCACCCTGGATACCTGGAAAATATTGGCGATTTCTATAATTTCTAATTGCTCTGTTTCTGTTTCACCTATACTTTACTTTCCCCCCCAGCTTGACGTGAACTGAGATACAAAACAAATTTAGACAAAATTGGCAAGCTGGTTGCTTAAAAATATTTTCATTTTTCATTAGGTAACAGATCATAAAAAGCTATGATCATATATCAATTGAATACACATACTGATTACATATTGTCAGAATCTGAGCCGCTATAAACCTCTTTACTATATTTAACCTGAATTCTCTGTAGGTGATTTTATATTTATACTTATATTTGTTTGTTTTTCTCCAGGCAGTCCTTTGCAAAAACAATTCACTTGACCAAATTCCCCCCAAAGTTTGTTTGTTTTTTTCTGAAGTGAATGGGAAAAAAATAAACAAGCAACCTAGAAATGTTCCATTCAAAAACTATTTGCTGACTAAACAAATGGTGAGCAAATGTGAGGAGTTGTTTGTTTGCAGAAGCAGCAGGGCTCCTTTATACTTGAATGCCTGGGCGAATGAGACTGGAAGTGCTCTGTTTGCTTTAAGATCTTTCCCAGCTAATTGTTTTCATAATTTGTTGAAAGTTTCAGGTTCAACACTTTATTTAACAAAGCATGCTCCCGTGCATGGACATTTGAAGCTAACTTACAAAACTATTAGAGTTGTTTATTTGTAATAGGGTTTTTAAAAAATCAGCCAACCTTAAATGTTCTCTCCCCTATTCTGTGTCCTGTGGATGGAACAGAGAGTTTAATTGTGTGGCCTGTATTTATTACCCCTCTAAAACTGAAACCTCAAACCCCTTGCAGAAAAAAAAAATCTCCACAATACAATAGAAAGTAGAGTAAAATATTGTTTAAGAGTATTTTCATCTTTACGAAAAGCATTTGGGATTACTCATGCTAGGAGGTTAACAGGGGGAAAAAAATAGTATCTACAACTTATTTTTCCCCCTGCTCATTTTTCTATGCACACAAATGAAATGTTGAGGCCTTGCCTGGCTTGTTTTATTAGAACAGGGTCAACTGACCCAAGAGGCCACATTTATTTTCATCAGTTTAATGCAGGGACACAGTGTAGTTTAATTTGCTGATTTTGATAACATCCACCTGCTGGTTGTTTTCAGGATGAAATGTTGCCATGTAACAAAGACAAGATATTTTATTGAGATATTTCTGCTAAAATTTTACAACGATGTTCACTTTAGCTAGGTGGGAGAAAGGAGAAGGAGTTTTACAGTCAAAACTTGAAAGAGTGATTTACTCAGTGGTTGCTTTTCCACTTAGAAAATATGGTGAAAATAGGCTATCCTATCAAGCTTAACAGCAAGTGGCTCATTTTGCTGATTTGACAAACAGAATTTTAAAGAAATAATGCTAGACAACAAACCTCTCAGCATTTATATTCCAATCAAATAATTCATGATCTAACAGAACTTTTAAAATTGGCTTCAAAATGTGTTAACGCAAACTGCATATTTGTAGACACAATGTTTCCCCATTTTTCAGTTGCTCACATTGGCTTTGTGTATATTAAGACTTCCTTGGAATAACCATCTTGCTTCCAGGGCTATAAATCCTTAATTTTTTGAAACTCCCCTCGACTAAGTGGAAGAGAAATGTATTTTATTTCTTTAAAAAACGATTTCTCACCATGGCTGCTTCTTTGTCACTCTTTAATATCATAGACGCAAAATACCATTTTATTATTATCTATAGGAAACATTGTGTTTGAGATTGGGCTTAAGGTGGCACCTGGAAAATGCAAATTTAAAAATGAAATAGTTATTTTTCTACTGGACATTGGCAAAATTAATAGAAATCTTGAGAGTCAGAATAAGCCACAACTTTATGTTGGTCTGTTGTCTTGTTCTTGGTTATTATTTTTATTTCCCTTCTTCCCCCAACACACACACAGGAAAGAAAGAAATTGTCGTGCATTGGGTGACTCCTCTTCATGATGCTGTAGGAAACCCATCATAGATTACGGAGCACACTAAGCTAGAATTGTCATACTGCTACTATAATTAATCCTTCTTCTTTGAATTGTCTTAATTCCCCGTTTTTAATTGTGAATAATATCATGAGACTATGGATCTCATGTAAAAGCTACTCTGGTATTGTTCAGAGATTGCACAATGCTATTATTACGATGTGTTTGTTGAGTGAATGAGTGTCTCTAAATATGGTTTGAACGGCCTCATGGATCTCACCCTGACCAATGAGACATCATCAGGACAAAACTACCCATCAGTTGTAGAGCCACATTTTTATATACACGAGAGCTTCATTCACTACGTAGGATATGGGTGAAACACTTGTGGAATACATTTATATTTTAATGTATGATTTTATAAAAGTTTTAAATGCTACTAAATATATGTCTTATTCATTTGGAAAATGGGACCACATGCTCTATATCTCTCCATCGCTTCTATATAAAGCGGTTTATATATCTAAGTTGATTTCCCATTGCTCGTTTCAAGACTATTATTAAGCCCACGCGTGTCTCTGACTATGCCTGTGCATTAATAATGGAGGCTGCCTGTTACTACTGACCTTAGTGATTGGAAGTTACAGTGTAATCAAAAATAACAATTGGTTGAAGCGGACGTTTGAAAGCCATCTCCAGTGTGAACAAGGATCCACTTGTCAGTCACTGTTTCCTGCCCTCTGCCAAAATCAGAAGAAAGCTTAACAGTAGTTAGGGAGCCACTCGGTTGAAATCTCTAAGGATGTTCCAACCTGTTTGTTATGTTTTCATGCACCCTGTCCAGGGATGAAAAGTGATGTGATCTTAACTCATTTCTGGCTGAAAGGCAGCGTCCTGGGCTTTCCTGTAGCCCTGTACCAGTTCTGACTAACCATGCTTAACATCCAATTGCTATCGAAATCAGACTGCAAGGCCTTCTTTTATTGACATGACATTTGCTAGTCTGTGACTTGGAGAGTTGTATTCATCAGGTTCTTAACTTTGCAGGACCACAAAGGCTGTGTAACTCTAAAAGGATCTTTGAAATTGTAACTACAGTAAGTGATGACTCTGTGACATTACATAAAAATCTCTCAAATTGCATATAATTAATCCTGAGATGCGAAATAATTATTTTCTTAGAATTACATTTATAACTTTCAGTTTTATCAAACTCAGACATCCTGTTCATACTTGAATTATGACTAAAATCACTCTACTGTCCATACTGGAATGTAGCATTACACATCATGCATTCTGATAATTTTCTTTTCTTTTCTTTTAATTTCTTTTTTATGTTCTCACCACACCATTGTAATGTCTACAGCTCGCCCTGTTGGTAAGTAGCCATCCTTCTATCCATTTAGCATGGCTTTGTACAATGCTTCATAACTCATGCATAGAAGAAATTGACAGAATGAAATATATTTATTCAGCCCTGTTAAAATATTGCTTGAGGGACTGCTTTCTGTAAAAGTTGCTGATCTTTTCATCACTTTGATAAACAATTTTGTGGTGACTTCTGCTACTTAACAATGAATAGGTAACAGTTTTCTTCTAAAAGAATAGATGAATGATTAATATTATAAACTGCAAACTTTTCTTAAGGAAAAAAATGCAATACTTCCTTTTTTCTTATATGGATAAAATAATCAACTATTAGTTATGTTTGATATTCAAAAAATTGATTATGTATGAATTAAATTAAGAAGTTCTATTACTTTGTGTACTTCCCTTATTTCAAGCTGCTTGGGGTCCCTTGCTTTTTAAGAGCATTTTAACTGCTGCCTACTTATCATCTGCATGCCTGTTTAAATAAATTTAGCAGGATGCTTCAAGTTATTCTAAAAAAAGGGAGAGATGAGCTGTGTTCTTTGGCATGAAAAGTTTGTGGTTTTGATGTATTTCACCCTTCATTTGGCTTTGCAAAATTGAATTTAACAGCTTTTGCTTGCAGTAATGTAAGTAGTTATTTTTTGTAAATATTTGGAAGATAAATTATTTTTAAATTTATTGATTTAATAACCTTTTTGCATCTTTTAAAGTTTATATTAACCTATCTATAAATGTGTTTAAGTAAAAGAAATCTTGGTAATTGTATTATAAGTAAATGAATAGATAGATGCATAAACAGATGGATGGTTGAATGAATGAATGAATCTAGTACATTGCTTCTTTTATACACCAAGATATACCTCAATAATTTATTCAATTTAATATAGCTTTATAAATGGTCCATCTAATTACAAAATCTTTCTTAATATGCTGACTTGACATTGTTTGATGCATATTGATCCAAACTCATGAACTTCTTTCCTGTTGGTTGAAACATTAACAAACTTTATTCTTATATAGTATATACTAACATGGATAGAAAATACAGTAAAATAAAACTTTGGTTTCCCAATCTCAATTTTGGCTCTGGTGTTTCTGAGCAGTACTTGCTTTGTCAGTTATTTAATACCCCTGACTCTCAGATACTTTGCCTATGTTTTTATGCCAACGTTGGTCAACATATTCCTAGTTCCTAACAAATATTTTTTCATAGTTTACTATTTTTGAAATACTGTTAATTGAACATAACTTGCAGACTTTTTTGAAACACAACTATTAAATTGGTCATGCTTTTTACTGTTGATGTTAGAAAATAGAGGAATATGTTATAATTTTTAAGCCTCATTTTTTTGTATTTATAAGAATTCCTATTAATGTAGTAACTTTTTATATTATGGCATGGGATCTAAAATTAAGAAGTGAATGAGAAAGAGTAAAATAATCATTGCAAATTAACATGAAAAAATCACATTTCATTTATAGAACCCTGACCGCTTGGTTTATATTATTTCTCAAGTTCCCACCAAAATAAAACAATTTGTTAATTTCTAATACATTTAAAACTCATAAATACAAAACACATTGATCAGAAACTGTTAGGCACACAGAGTATTGAGATGCATTTGTCACCTACAAGGCACTTCAAAAGTTACTTCTGTTTTTTATTCTTGTTTCAAATGATTTCTTAGATTCCCATTGGACTGGAACTAAAGAATAGCTTCTTGACACATTGTACTTTATTCTGGGAAAGTCTGTCATTTCATAAATCTATCTCGAATGACTTATGACAATGTTCTGAAATATGAAGAACTATACTTTAAACTTGACAACTACTATTAATTTTGAAAACTGAGTGATGGATCTGCTTTTATTGGGTCACCAGAGAAGAAACCGATAATGAGGACATTAGCCTGCTTTTTCTTTGCATCATCTGTTACATCAGTTTTAATTCAGGAACTCTGCAAGTGCCGAAGATACAGATCAAGTAAAAGCTAATTCAATATAAAAATAATAGAAAACTACATTGATATTCATATTTGTTAGTGGACTTATGTAAGTTTTTCAACTTTGAATCTCTTACCAGTAGCTTTCAGGGTCTTCTATAAGGTAAAAACCACAGAAAGGGGAGAATATCTAGCTGGAGATATAGGTACCAAGTAGACAAATATAGAGAAAATTCAGTGGGTAGTTCCTATCTAAAGTTTTCAAATGAAAATTAGAAATATATGCAGATTCCGGAATACTAATAGATTCAGAAACTGGTGGCTACGTTACACGCCAGATGCAACTTGGTAGTCTGTGTGGAAAGTCCATTTAGAAAGCATTATAAACCCTCAAATCGGGAGTTTTATCCACGTGAGCTGCATTTGAGTTCAAGAATGGGCAACTCTGCGCTCGCCTGCGGACTGAGGGCCTCCTGTTAGATTCCAGCCAAGGGCACATGCCTGGGCTGCAGGCTCCATCCCTGGCCCCAGGCAACCAATCAACCAATGGATCTCCCTCTCTCTCTCTCTCTCTCTCTCCCCCCCCCTTCCACTCTCTCTGAAAAACTATGGAAAAAATATCCTTGAGTGAGAATTAAAAAGAAAAAAAGAAGAAAGAATTGGCAACCCTGTAAAATTTACAAATGTAATCAGCACCTCCGCCTGTGCTTTTGCTGGTGTAAGAATAAGTCTTGAGGTAGAGGATCCTCAGTGTGGAAAATTCTACTGAAAGCAGACAATCACACGCTTGCCAGTGGGGGAAAGTATTCTCCAGATTTCACTTACCCATCTTTGGTGTCATCAACATCTCAAAAAGAGCCCTTTCATCCAAAATCCTTATGCACTGGTTACCACAAAACCTAGACAAACGCCATTTAGGGAGCTAAAAATCCACCAGCCCTTCCTGTGGCTTTGGCTCCTTACTGTTCCAGAGGCGCCCTTCATGTGAGAAGCAAGGGGACATCCCAGGACATCGCTAACTGCGATGCTGCAACGCTCATTTGTGTATTTGACAAACGCCTCTGATGAGGTAACTGACAGAAGAAAGTGATCTAAATAGGGACAAATATCTTGCTTCCTGTACCCATCTGTCTTATTTTCAATTGGAAGTCTTCCCCAAGCTTAAAAATAAAAAAGAACATCTATTTTGGAGATGGGCAACACATTTTTTCCAGCAGCAATTCAAAACATGATGAGGGATTTGGAAAAGAACCGGCAAATCCGGCAGCTGCCTCGTTTGTGAAGCGGAGCCCTGCTCGGGTTTGCATCTTACGTTCCATATGCTAGGAGCCGATTGCCTCCAGTGTGGAAACTAAAAGCTTCGCGTGTTTCAAATACCCCAAACAAACGGACAGCACACAACTTTAGAGAAACTTGCAAGTATTTCCTAATTTAGTGACTCAAAAGCATGTTTCCTTTGGGTACAGGAATATAATTGTCCACACGAGAGTTTTTAAGTATTGAGAAAAATACATGTTTTGGGCAAAATTCTCGCCTTTTATTATTATTATTTTAATGAAGCAGTCATTATTCTAAACCAAAATCTATAAGAACATATTTTTTCCAATCTTTTAACTGCTTAAATACAAAAATTAAATACATATTCATTTTTGAAACGTCTGTTGGGAGTTGAAGTGTTTTGTTATAACATGCTCTGAAGTGTTTTATGGAGGCCACCAAGAAGTTCAGTGGAAAGAGAGTGATTAAAAACTTCAATCAGGGCAAATTATAGAACAGACATTACTTAAAGAGTAATGCAGCTGATATTTTCCACACCACCACTCTGCACCCCACCTTGAAATCTAAAAAATTGGGGAAACGTAGGCTTCATGTATAAACGCTTTCGTGTCGTGGTCCCCTTTTCTGTAAAAGACGTCCTGAGTGCTAGGTGGAAACCTGCGTTTTTACTCCCTGCAGCCTTTCTTCTTTGGACAAGCTGTTACCCCATGACCTGAGGTGATCATCTCCCCCCTACAAGCGCTTAATGTTTCCTGCATCTGGCGCTAATTAGCTGCTTATGCCGAGTCCCATTTAATTATTTCTAAGCATCACGTTTTTCATTGCTCCATATGTTTTGATTAAGTAGCAGGTAAAAACAACTCACTCCGGTTTGTCTCGTATATTCCAACAGCGTTTCCATAATGTGGAACATTCACCATCCCTTAAGCTCATGTTCATTTTTGAAGCACAAAAAAAGTCCTGGTTACTTCTCAGGCTTGGCCGGTTTTAGTCACTGACTTGATTCTCATGGAAGGGCCTGGTGTGTTCCACAAGGTCTGTTCATTGCCTCGAAATTAAAGAATAGCTATGAAATTATTGAGCCCTACTTTCTTTTCCTGACACTTTGGTGAAGATGTTTTATTGTCTCGGTATTGACTGGTATTATAGTGAGTCTGAGGCTTAAAGAATATTTTTATCCTTGGCTGGGATGCTCTTTTACTATATAAATATCAAAGTTGTCTAACCCACAACTTTGCTGGGTTAGACCTTGGTCCTGGTCACCCTGGACGCAGCAAGCCCCTTGACTCTGCAGATTCATGCTTTACCTTACTCTTTTTTAAGAGTGTTTGCTTCCCTTTTATCTCTGAATATTTTTGCTACATTTCTTCTTTTTTTCAAATACATGAGTTAAGTTGGCTTTCCTTTGTCTCAGTTTTATATTTACTAAGTTTCCTATAATAATTTTAAAGTCATCTTTATTTTATATTGTATGATTTCTTCTTTTTTTAAATCCTTACCTGAGGATATTTTTTCCATCGTTTTTCAGAGGGATTGGAAGGTAGAGAGAGAGGGAGAGGGAGAGAGACATCGATGTGAAAGAGACACATCGAGTGGTTGCCTCCTGCTCACAGGCCAACTGGGGCCGGGGATGGAGACTGCAACCCAGGTACATGCCCTTGGTCGGAGTCGAACCCGGGACCCTTCAGTCCTCAGGCCTACGCTCCAACCACTGAGCCAAACCAGCCAGGGCTCCTATGATCTCTTGATGCCTCTTTAGCAGCTCCCCAACTTTTTAAAGGGC